AAGCATAACTTTGTCAATTGACAAACATTATCAGTTCCACTGTCTTCGTATACTCAACTGATTAGTTAGGGATTCATGAGTTGCAAGACAGGATTAATACTGACAATAATATAGTAGGCCAATAAGAACTGGTCTTATGAGGAGGCGATTCGATGACCATCAGACAGCATCCCAAAGGACGAATTCACATTATTGGTCAAGAAATGGATTCCTTATCTTAGGAGGTGGAAGATATATATATATATATATATATATATATATTTATGTATATTAGTACATATTATTTGGTAGAAGGTAGACTTTCTTTACCACCCTTGCCTAGCGCAAATAGCCATTTCGGTTGGTCAGCACGTATCGTAATCACATCTTGGTCTTCGCACATCGTAACAGGTGATAATAACAAATAAAAGCGTTTTACCAATTATCCTATCAGGGTAAACAAATTCTTAAGTAATATATTGGTATACCACTAATATTATCAATGGCAGTATACATTAGCTTCTTTATGTTTCCGTTTTCTCTACTTCACTCTCTAAAGGTTTTGAGCCTACAGTAATTAGAGGAACTCAACTGCTTTACTGCTTTTGGTTAATGTTATAAAGCTACTGAGAAATTATAGATGCGATGCGTTTATTAATTTTCAATAAAGGCTGGAAAACTGTCTAAACTCAAAAAAAAACATAAGTTCATAAAGTTGATTGCCTAGGAAGTTTAGACGGTTAGATTGTTTTATTTAATAAATCTTTTGCAAAAATTTATTTGGATAGAAAATTCATTAGATCTTCAATCCAGTCGAATATAGAATGTTTACACGCATCTGAACAAAATGAACATTTAATTCCATCAGTTTTTCATCAGTTCATCAGAGGTGAAAATGCTCAAGAATCATGTTTTTCAATACACGAGAGAGATTAGCAAACTTATTTTCAATATACTTTTCTAATAGAGTTTGTCATCTCTTTATCTCAGAGTAATTATTGTTAACATTTGATTTTTTTCAATAAAATTTTGCGTTTCCTTAATAGGTATTGTGTTGATTTTATAACAACCTCTTTTAACTAACTGAAAACCAACTTGAAAACTATAATTACCTCAACCGCCTTCATCTGTGCATGAATTTGATTAACTATTCAAGATTAGTTTTATAGATTATCTAAATTTTAACGTAATATATACATTTCATTATTAACCAATTCACTGCTGTTGAAGGAAAAAAGAATACAAAATTTGTACTAATAAACTAAAACTATATTTTACATCGTACTAAATATAATTTCAAAGGTACATTTGTTTAGTATTGATTAAATATTTTAATCTAGTATTAATAAAATATCCTCCACCTTGTTCAGTTAGTTATTCATTTAAATATTGGTGGATTCAATATCATCACCAGCAACGTGTTGTACTACAGAGACTCTGCATGATGTTAAAAATTATGAGGGTAAATATACCGAGGGTAAACGGGGAGATAATTTGTTAAGTGTGTCCTTTGCCAGTCCTAAGTGTTTATCATAGAAGTAGAACGGTCTGGTGAAGAGTGTAAATCTGTAATTTTATTATTTAAAATTTCTTTGGTTTAGCAAGGTGATAACTTGAAATAACTCACCAATATACAAATTTGTTGTTAGATTCTCAGATGAAATTTGAGGTTGAGTAAAACAAAAAAACACGGAGAAAAACGTCTTACTTTTTCAGTTGGTTTTAACTAGTTTTTACTCCTTGGGTGTTGGGTGAAACGATAATTTGTGGAAAACTTTGGGCGATCAGTAAGTGACCTTGAGAATATTTACCTACCAACTGGGGTCAAAAGCGGTTTATTAATTAGTATCAGGGATTAAAAATAGAATTGAGTTAGATGGTTGTGTTAGAAACTAGATTTGCAGTTTTTCATCATAAATCGACATCACTTATAATGCCAAAATACTACTTAGTTATGTAACTTTAGCCTTTAGTTAGTTTGCATTTGGCCGGACTGTACCTCGTGTGCTAAATAAATGAGCAGAGCAGTGTGAAGTTATCTAGAAAAGGAAATAAAAAGAAAAAAAATCAGCCGACGACTCAGTAAATGATGAAATTTGATAGAGGAAGCAATCAAAAACAATCATAAGTAACACAAGTATAAAATAAAGACGAACTGATAGTTGGAACTAGAAGTTGGTAGAGTAAATTTTCGAATGCGTTATAATATAGATGAATGAAAATCGTGCCTAAATCCAAGACTTGCTATAACAAATGCTATTAGTTCGTCCATAAATTAAAGTTTCACCAAATGTTGTGTGGATCACCTTTTTTTCTGTGTTACCGGAAGGTAATTGGTCTGTAGTGGTGATCTTAGTCAACTGCGACTCGATACGCTACACAATTTAAGTACCATAATGACAAATATGCAACGGCAACAAAATTGATAAGCAAATGAACTTAATAGTGTGGTTCAAAGCACAAAAGTAATTTGAATTTTAAATTTCTCAGAACTACAGATTATATTTCACCATTTATATCAAACCACTAAAATTTACAATTTGAAAAAATGTCTACACAACTGATTTTTTCAAAGTGAAGAAAACAAACTTTGCAGGGTTTAATCAATTTACTTTATTAGAACATATTTGTATTGTCATGAAAAATCTATAATAAGCATGGTGTTTGTTACCGAGCAGAATAATCACATATATTTAGTTATAATTTTTAAACATTATTAGTCAAAAGATAGTAACTGATAACAAAACTGTAACTTAAAATAATCAACTTAATTTGCCAAAGCTTCAGGGATCACAATAAGTTATCTAGCAGTCAGTAATGACAGATCAAAAGATTGATAGATGATACATTACGAACCTGGTATGCTGATTGGAAGATCAATACTTTCGAATATATAGAGGGAGCAAGAGATAACAAAAATATGAAACAGTTTGACGGAATATTTCATTTCAAGTTCTAAGTAAAGATAATTTATATCAAACCAAGGATCACTGCAGCACTCATTAAAAACTAAGTTTTTCAAAAAGCTGTCAAATTCTACCATTAATAATTTCTGTATGAATGCGTTGTTGGGACGGTATTCCTTTGACTAGATCTTTGTTAGTTGACTCTGTATAAGCCCAACTTTGGTCATTTGGTTTGTCATTTCACTATGTCAGACCACTAAGATAATGAAGTATTGTGTGACTCAAGTGAAGTTTATAACATGGTCAGGTATGTGAATGTTGACTTTTGAATGCATTTTGTAAACGGTTTCTCCTATCCTAGTGGATAGATCTTTCATTTAAATATGTTTTTAGTACTTTTACTGACTTGCATTTATTACGCAGATATATATTATACAGGTGGGTGATTATAGTGAAGTTTCGTTCTCCGAGAAAGATATTTTGGTTGTGAAGCTCTCACTGTTTTTCTATGTAACATAATCAGCCTAAACTTCAGGTAGAACTTGCTTACATGCTTACGCCTGTTACCCCCAAACTGAGCATAGGCCACCCAACAGTTTTCTCCAACCAACTCTGTCCTGGGCTCCCCTTTCTAGTTCTTTCCAGTTTTTGTTCATTCTTCTCATGTCTTTCTCTATTTCTCGGCATAATATGTTACTTGGCCTTCCTCTTTTCCTTTGACCTTTAGGGTTCCATTTGAGGGCTTGTCTTGTGACGCAGTTTGGTGCTTTTCTCAGGGTGTGTTCTATCCACTTCCACCGCTTCTTCATGATCTCATCATTCTCTGGAATCTGGTTGTTCTCTCCCACAGTACGTTAATGCTGATAGTGTCTGGCCAAAGAATCCGAAGTATTTTGCGAAGACAACTATTAATAAATACTTGTATCATGTGAATGATGGCTTTGGTAGTTCGCCAAGTTTCCGCTCCATACAGTAGGTCTGTCTTGACATTTGTATTGAAAATCCAGATTTTAGTGTTGATTGATATTTTCCAATTGTAGAAATACAGCCATTGCTTTGACAATCCGCGCCCTCACATCTGCATCGCATCCACCTTGATTGTCGATGATGCTGCCCAGATATGTAAAGGTGTTGGTGCATGTTGTGTTGCATCGGAGAATCTTACTATTTCCTATATGTATGTTCATACCTACTGTAGAATCTTTTTTGAATGTTTTGTCGTTTGGAAAATCCCTCCATGTTTATATATTTTTGTTATGACATGACGGACTTTTTCTGTTGACATTTTGGTTTTTTATTTGATTCCATTTTGAGATTTGATCATTTTATATTGTTATTATTTCTATATTTTGTATTTATATTGAAGTTTTTATGTTTGCTTCTGAACTGTACACATGTTGTTTAAATTTGATATAATATGGCTACAGCCACATTTTTGGATTTGATATCGTCGCAGTATACTAGGTTCACCTAGTCTTTGGAACCCGGATACTCAACAGAGTAATTTCGAATTGG